AGTCATCTTTTCCTTGCTTTTGATGTAAGTAGGAATGCCATTAGAATTCTCCATTAAAGTGGGCTCCATAGCTCAGTGGTTAGAGCACTGGTCTTGTAGAATTCTCCATTAAGTAATATTTGCTTTGGGGCTGATTTGTTTTTTTGTTTTTCAGTCCAGTGATTGAATTTTGGGATTTGGATAAAAGTATGTTTGAAACACAAATCTTGAATCAGCGTTCTTTATTCCCAGTGGCAGACTGCTCAATGAGCCCTCTACTGCAGTTTCAAAGGACAGACAAGCTCAGACAATTTTCAGCACAATTCATCAAAAAATTAGAAAAGCTCTTTAACATTTTTGCACACATTAGTTTATTTAGCACAATCTCTGCCATTTAAAAATTAAGTGTTGTTTTTTTCCCCATCTGTGTTTTCTTATTTACAAATACTTGTAGAAACCCCTGGAAATTTCTACTTAAGTTTTCTGTTTTAGACAGATATCACACTGACATGGCACTCAAATGCCTATGTGGGCAGGAGACCACTCACTGCCTCTCCTGGGGCCACTGGGAATTGACATAAATGTCATTTTGTGGACACACAGGTGTGTCTGGAGCTATTCCTGAGGTAGAGTTTCAACAACACAGCTCAGCAGAGCACAGAATGAGAAATAACCATGAAAACATTAAATGGCGATATGAAATAAAAGCTCGTGAATAATGCTATGTTCTCAGGATTGAAGAGGAGTCCTTAGAAATGGGACCAAACCTTGCAATTCTCTCAGAGAACTGTAAGTTATACAGAAATCTACTTAACGGAAGAAGGAGGAAAATGGCTCATGTGACAAAAAATGTCAAATGAATTGCCTATTTTCGTAAGATAAAACCTATCTAAGCCAAGCAGATGGGTCAGTCCAGTTAGTATTTCTGCTCACAGATGGGGAACATCAACTGCAGGATGGCTGGTTTGTTGTCATGCCATTTGTGTGTCCTTGCGAGTGATCAAAACCAGCATTTTCCAGTCACTGCTATTCACTGGGATCCCCAACATGGGCTGTTCAGTTGAGATAATGGGTCCTGTCGACGGTATCCAGTTCAGCTGAGCATATGGTCTAAAGCTCAGATTTTGTTGTGGTTTTTGAAAAGGTTCCTTGGAATCCAGCCTTGTGAAGTGTGTCCATTTATGGCACTCAGTGACTTTGTGACCAGCACAGTCCTCATTCAGAGGCTGTGGTGACTGATGTCTGATTAGAGCTTGGTTCCGGCGATGACATTCCTGGGTCCCTCTGGTGTGGCCCTACGGATTCTGACTGATAGCAGAGCTCGGCACTTTCTTGTGGCACTTGGCTGAGTAGATAATGTATGTGCTTCTCATAAGGAAAATTCCAGCAACGACAGCAAAATAACTCCCATAAACTAAAAACTGCAGAAAAACAAATAGAATGAACTACACACACACACACAATCTGACCATCTACGTCATTGAGCATACATAGTGATGCTGTTGATTTGCTTGGATTATGGTGTCACAGAGACCTAGGATCTTAATATGAGACATTTAATTCGCACAATCCTTTCTTCTCCCATTTTAGAAGAACCAGATATGCAAGTGTAAGCAATGTAGTAGCTAAGAGTGTGGGCTCCGGAGCCAGGGTTGCTTTGGCTCAAATCCTAGCTACCACCACCAATAGTGAAACCAGACTAAATCCCGCTGATTTTCTTATTTATGTTTGGAGGATAGCACAATGATATATGCAATGTCTCCAAGAATCAACTGTATTCATTGAGGTTACTTACCTGCTTTATATCCCCGCTTTTGTTTTCCCCAGATCCATATGTAAAATATGAGATTGGGCTAATTTTAAGTCCCTCAGTGGAGTAGGACTAGAGCTCTGCAGCCAGGTACCCCCTTCCTAGTTGAACTTCAGTAAACCTTGGAACTGGATGGTGGGAGGAAGAGGAGACATACGGGGCCACAATGACCTGTCTTGCCTGATGTTTTCGGAGCCAAAGGTAAATGCTGACCTACGGTGATTAATGCTTGAACCTACTTGGTGTGTGAGGATGTGATAATTAAAGAATTGCTTATTTCAAAATTCGCCTCGCTGAGGAATTCAAGAAACTTAAACACTGGCAGTGGTGAGGTTGAAAAACACCTTTCAGATTACCTAGTTATTCTATAGTCCCTATAGTCCCACCAACTATAAATAGAAGTATGGCAGCTTACCTGAATGCGGATTGGCAGGTTAAGCCCTCTCTGATCTACCACGATGATAGTTATTATGGTCTGAATCACCAGGGCAATGAAGGTGTTGATTCCAAACACCAGGGCATATCGCTCCACGCTCAGATTAACGGCGATCTGAAATCTATCGTGAAACATTGAATACGTTTTTTAACAAGAACATTCATGGGCTTCTTATCTTTAAAACAGAGAAACAAAAGAGAAAGCAGTCTGCCAGATGGGAAGGGGGTGTTAGGGGTGTGGGTGAAAAAAGGGAAGGGATTAAGAAGTACAAATTCCTAGTTAAAAAAGTAGTCATGGGGATGTAAGGTATGGCATAAGAAATATAGTCAATAATATTGTAATAACTATGGGTGGTGTCAGATGGGCACTAGACTGACAGAGTGATCACTTCATAAGTTATATAAATGTCTAATCACTATGTTGTACACCTGAAACTAATATATGTCAACTGTAATTGAAAAAAAAAAAAAAAGCAGTGTCCTGTTAACTGCACTTCTAAACTTCCTCCAGTAGGAGATTTACACAAATAGGCAGAGCAAAGAAACGAAGTTTAAAAATACAGATAAAGGCTTAATTAAAATAGTTAAAAGAAATATGAAAAAATTCCTCCCATCCAATTTACTACTTCCAGAAGTTAAACCTAAATGTCTTAAGTTCTCATAACTTGAGAATATTGGATGCTCTATAATTTTAGATACTGTTTTACAATAAATTTTTATAAAAATGCAATCAGCACACAATCTGAGCAATTTTTTGGAGAGTTGTTCATTTTATTGTCAATTGTCTGTATTGACAGTTTCAAAGTTTGGTAGGTGAACTATTCTTTGGAAGATCCAGACCATGACTGGTTGTACAAGTGAGTGAATCTGTGGTTAATTTTTAATAATTATATACTTTGAAATATTAAAAAACACTTACGAAAGACAGGCAAATGTATGTTATTTAGAATTCTTCCTTGGAATGCAGGTAAAAGGCTTTGGGTCCTGAATATTCTTACGATGAAAAGAAATAATGTAATCCTACCTTAACAAAACGCTCACAGTAAAAAAGAAACTCAAGAAACGAGTTTGATTCATTAAACTGACACATTTCAGTGAAAAAAAAAACAAACTTGCTAACAAGTTTCATCTCTTTTCTTTCATTATCTTTTCCCGGAGTGTTTATATTTCTGTGTTTTGCCAACGGCTCATCAAATATTTTTCACTAATTAAAAAACAAAACTTGATAAACTTTTGGTCTCTACCTTTTTCATGTGATTTTAAATTCAAATGTTTCCTTTCGTTTTTGGTTAATACTAAAGCACATTTCCTATAGCCAGCTTTCTTTGCAGTTAGACGTGGAACCAACTGTTTTTAAAAAATGATCTCTGGAATTTAGTTCTTATAATCTTTGCATCTACTTTTTTCCATGTCCAACTTTTTATAACTTGCTGAGAATATTTTGTTTCACACACAAGTTTATGGCTGGAATTACTCAAGCAACCAAATGAAATCAGGGATGAAACCTAAACCTCATCATTCAAAATCAGATTGTACCACGCTCTGTTATGGTAAATTGTTTGAAATAAAAAAATCACAACCTAGCAATGTGTCATTGCTCTTGGCTTATAAACCTACAGAACTTTCTTCCCTTGATGATTGCTCGTAGTAATATTCAGGTGGCAAATAGTTAAATGAAAAGATGGCTTCCTTGTGTCTAATTTAATGTGAAGTCGTCAACATTTAATATTGCAATTGATTAACATCCTTCTGAAGTTCTCAAAGGTACTATAAGGCTACAGAAAAGAGAATATGGTTTTGTTTCAGGAGTGGAAAGAAATGGTGGGTAATACTTACACTGCTATGGTAATGAGAAGCATATAGCCGGCCTTGAATATTAAATAGCCAGCATAGCAAGCCCAAATGTCTGTTGTGTAGTGCATGAGAAACAGCGAGCCTGCATTGACCACGGAGAAGATGGCCAGAGCCAACTCTCCCAGAAGATCCCAGTTGACCTTCACATAACCCACTGCAAATGCAGCCACAGCCCCTGAAAAAGAAACATTGAGGAAGATCAAAGATGGTGACTTTGTACGTGGGGAAACACCAACATGCTCTCTTAAAAACTCAGGTCTCAGGGAATTCTAATAGATGAATATGTTGCCTTCACAATGTGTCAAACTAGCGTGACCCACCTACATGTGAATTTATTCTTTTCTCAACCATGTTTTCCTTTGGCTTCTCTCTTTACTTCCTATTCCCTCAATCATTTAGTTGTCACTATTTTAATCAGCATCAACTACTTGCCATGCACTGTACGAGGCAGGGGGGACAGAAAGATTTCTCACCACGGCAGAGGGGGGAGAAATGAGACATAAACCCAGTTATTTAATACAGCACACTAAAAGTGGGGATGGAAGAGTAGGAAACCAGTGCTCTGGGAGTACACCTGGCCTGTCCATGTGCGCCTTCCTTGACTGTTTTTCACAGTCAGTTTTTTTCAGTGATGGGTAACAGATGTGTTGCACTGGGTAGTAAGTTTTAGCCTTCATTATTAATCTTGATTACTCTTCATTTCAACTCTAGTTTCCATCTTAATATCTTCAAGATATGGCCTAATTTACCTGAGGTTTTGGGTGGACAGATCTATGCTGATTTATAGAATTTAAGAGATTAAATAATTGACAGTAACTAGGCTTAGTAATTATGGTTCTCTTTAACATGATGGAAAGTATTTATGCTTCAATTTACTCCATGCAATCTAGGAAAGAACTGTGACTGCAAAGGAAATAAAACGATTTTTCTCCCTAGAATTTGGAATGTAGGAGAAATAATTTCAGTGAACCCATTCCAGCATACTCGTGGTTTCCAGGGGTTAAAGTGAAGTCTCCCAAAGGGGAGACAATAATAAACAGACACCACATGAGTCATCTAGAAGTTTTTGTAAATGAGGGTGTGGAAACCTCCTGCTTCCTAGAAAATATCTTCAAAGTCTCATTTGACATTTAAGTTTCCATTTACCAGGATATACATATTTATTGTAGAGTAAACTTCAAAGGCAGAGTTCCCTCTAGTATTAGAATCCTGACTCTCACATATTTTCCACCCCTCATTTAAGTCTCCTAAGAAAGCAACTTTTGAACATTTTTGGTGTATAGCCTAGAATTGCTAAAGGTGGGCGCTAGCTAAATCAAATTCTTTATTAATCAAAGCTCTTCCAGTGATAATGTAGAAGGCTTAATAGTTCAATTCATTTTCTAAAATAGTAAAAACTCCTTACTTATAGTCAAGATGTGTATTTGCCTTTTGACATTAAAAACAATCTTGGAAGAACAGGGGTCATCATTAAAACTTCCTGATGATGAAATGAAATCTTAGGAATTTGGCGAGAACTTAATTGTCTGATGCTCAGTCCTGAGTGACTTGTAGCTGTAACAAGTTAAATACAAGTGTGATGTTCCTCTTTTCCTTTCCCAGTGCCTTTCATTCCTAAAAAAGATGAAGATGCCCTCTGAACAGAGCTAATTTAGCATCCTGGCGAAATATAACAACTGGAGAAATGAAATGAACGGGGGGGGGGAGCCCACTAAAGGAAGATCAATCAATGTTTACTTGCCTCCAAAGGTTGCGATAGCTTCTACTGCCCCATTATAGATGAAAGAATTTTGGGAGGGTGCCTTATAATCCCACAGGATTTGCACATAGTTCAAAACCTGGTTAAAGCCTGCTGTGGAAAGGGCCCACCACAGGGACCAGTAAAAAAGATGCTTTGAAGAGTAGCACTCTTTCAAATCTTGGAACCACTGCACAAAAACTCTTACAGCTACATTTTTTGGCTTTGGGGCGCTCTCCCGGCAGTCATCCAGGTTCCCCAAAGGGGTGGGTGTTTCTGAGGTGGGTTTTTCCTCATTGCAGCCTGGGGTTTCGCGCTCCTGACACTCCTCTAACACCGCTTTGGTGCTCGATGGCTTCTGTACCTCTTTGCTGGGGTTTGCATAAAAAAACATGCTTTTCTTGGGCATTGGTAGAAAAAGTGAGAAAAGGAAGGCCACGGAGACAGAGACCAAGGATATGATGTTGAGGTAAAAGTATGATAATTTGGCCAGGGACACCAAGAGCTGCGCCAGCACCGAGGCCGCCGTGTAGGCCACCAGCGTGACACTCCTGCAGTAGCCGCTCACTTTCTGATAATGCTCCGGGCTGACCACACTGTAGATGTAGGCATAGTAAGCCACCTCGGTGGCCGTGACCATCCCATAGAAGAACTCCACGGCCTGCATGGCTCTCACGCCTTGGCCAAACAGGAGCAGCAGCCAGGTGACGATGAAGCTAATCCCTTGTACGATGATGACTGGTTTGTAGCGGACGTAATCGGTGAGGACAAACACAGGGAGCAGCAGCACCAGGTAAGAGTATGTCCACACGGGGAAGATCTCATTGGCCATCTGCGAAGTTGAAAAACGGAGTGTGTGACCATGAAGCCCCAGGAAATGAAAAGGGTACCTTTTCCAGACATGTGCATTCCTAAAGTATGTGTGGCTTGCCCCATATCAAATTTTGCATCCAATCGGGTAGAATCGTCTGCATATTAACTGATTTTCAAGAAACCAATAGGAAAAGAGAGTTCCACTCCATATCTATCTATCTATCTATCTATCTATCTATCTATCTATCTATCTATCTATCTATATTTTTTTTGAAGATGGGTACATTAACTCATCTGTAATGGTCCCAGGAGCGGAGCCCATTGGGCTCACTGGCTATTCTGGTCCTGTATCTATCGTTTTGCCTTAATCGTGACATACTTCCACCTGAGAAACTTTGAAACAGATGCCATGAGGTCACTAAGTGCTTTTACACCACAGCCAAAGCTTGCCTTTCTGTCCTTGCCGCCTAATCACCAAATAAACCAGCATCAATTAGCCTTTCCCAGTGAAGCCACGCCCTCTGGAGTGTTTTCATAGCTCTGGCTGGAGGTTATAACACCAGCCCAGGGTAATTCTCCAGTGGGGTCGGTGCATTTTCTTGTTGTACTCCTTATGAAAAGAGAGGTGTATTTTTTAAGAAAGAGAATTTGGCCTTCTGGGGAAGATAAAGCTGGGAGATTAAAGCCATCAATGTCTCATATGCTGGTAGACAGTTTTTCAAAATTGAGTAAGTATCTGAAGGAAATGCAACAATTCCATATCAGGATCTGTTTATACCTCATCAGCCTGAAAGTTTAATAGGACTAGATCTAGTACCAGGCAGCGATTTTATGTTAGGAGTAGTATAATAGAATCAATGGGGCCTGAAAGGTTCCTGTGCAGTAAAACTAATGTTAAAACTCTATAAAAGTTAAATATTTATTACACACGTAATGTAGTTTTGGTCTCCCATTTTTGCAAGTGTGAAGAAGAAAGAGTAGTTGGAACAGTTCTCTTAAAGAGCAAATACCATGCAAATGAGGTTCACGGAGGTCAGTGGGTTCATCTTATTTTGCTGAATGAAGCCGTGTTCATGGCCTCGTCTGAGTCCTGTAAAATTGAACTATTGCACATTAAGACATGTATGGATATTAACTTACCTCTGTGCTGGTCAGGTTTTTATCTGGTCCAGATAAATACGGGATAAGGAAAGGTTCTGAGGGTCTCATCATAGAGAAAAATCCAAATATGCAGAGGATGACAGTGGGATAGAGCCACGAGTGGCTTGGTGAAGTCTGGAAACAATCCATGGCTGATCAAATGGAAACAAAGCCAACGTTAACTGATATTTACTCTTTTTTGGGCATCTTGGATGTAATGAAAAACTGGTTTTTTTCTATATGTTTTATGAAAGTTTCATGCATCTGCAGCTGACATGGAAAGGTGAATGATGAGTAACTGCTCTTGAATATCCCATAGGTGAGCCAGTCAAACCACCCCCCGTTGTCAATGAACTTCTCATTCGCTATTACTGGGGGGTAGAATCACACTTTAGTGTTCGCCGTCACAAACTGGTAATGAGTCGCTACTAACAAATGGTAAACAATGGGCCACTGAATGTTTGAGAGTTAAGTAAAACACTAGCTGGTGACTTACTGGTATATCTGTGGTAAGTCAGGTCAAACCCAAAAGAACATAGATTGAGTTGACCAAGCCTGTTACTACTTGCTCGCTCTAGTTTGCATGGCGACTCTGAAATCTTCAACACACGGAATGGCATGTATTTACATCTATCTTTCCCTTAGACTGTCCCTTAACTAGTATTATGCTTGACACGTAACAGACATTCAAGATATTTCTGTTAGACTGAAATTCTTCAATCTTCTTAGAATTTGTAATTCTTCAGTTAAAAAAATTAAATTAATAAAGGTCAGACTTGCCGTTTTTGCACACCTCCTCCCCCCGCCCCCCCGCCAGCCCTTTTCCCGTACTGGGGCTAACTCTACATTGGCAATGGAAGGCATCATTTCTTAGATCGCTATTCCATTTTTCTTTATGACTGGGTCCATTTTGTATGTAAGTCTACAGTTTCACACTCAAACGGGGCAGGGAGCTACTTAATAGTTCATACTTTTTTCCAACCCCAGAAAGAAGATTGCTTGAAATTCAAACTTCAGACAAAAACATTCAGTGAGGAACCTCATTTGCACAGAAAAGCAAAACAAAACAAGAAACCCTCGTTTCATGGTGGCTATATCTGAAAACCTCTTGCATTTTCATGTGGGGTACAACACGTACAGGGAAAGTCTCTCTCGTTTCTTCATAGTTTGGATCAAACTTAACTTGGTAAATCTTACACACTTTTGGTGCTCTTGGATATAGTTAAGTTCTCTGAGATAATTTATAGGAAAGAAACTAACCTGCTGTGAGTATGATGCTTTTCTGCATGTTATCTCATTAAATCCTCATAACAACTGTAAAATATATATTATTATTTCCCCAAATTCCCAGGTGAGTATATGGGCGATCCAAGATGTCCAAAAACTGGCTTCAAACCACAGGGCCAATTTGAATTCAGCTCCCCCTGACGCCCATCAGGGTCCTTTCAACTGCTCCCCTCGGCCTCATCCTGGTGGCCCTTCTTCCTTGGCTGCCGGTATTAACCTCATGACAACTTCTCCCCACAGTGAGGGAAGAAAGTGTTTTTATAAACATAGACATACTAATACATAGAGCTTCCAGGGGCAATTTTAGTTTGAAAGTAGGCCAGAGAAAGAGAAGACGATACTCCAGAAGAGCAAGTCACCTGGGTGGAATTCCAGGTATCCAGGGGGAGGAACTTTGCTGGGTGCTCGGGAGACGACGAGCGCCTCCTGAGTCACACCGTGGCTGCCACCCACTCTTTCACAGGGTGGCCCCAGAGAACTGCGGAGCTCCTCCCTTAAGTTAAATAGGTAAATATTGTTTCTGTCAACAAAACCCTCGATGAAGCAGTACAAAGGAAACCGAATTTGGAACTAGATGACAGCAATTGTGAGCAGTGCTGATGATGTGAAATTTTTGGCAACGGCATGTTAGAGCTGACTCTCCTCTACCTCCACCCTCAGCTCAGAATGCATGGGATGTAGCTTCCTGAGTCGTTGCTGGGGTCTCCTGGGACCGTCTTTCTTTGTGAGTGATATTCGTATAGAAAAAGCTGTCCTGGGTAGGCAAACTGAAGCTTGGCCATCTTTCAAAGGGTAGTCTTAATCGGGTGGCATCTGGGACTCTACATCAAGAATGTTCTCTCCATCTATGCTAACCATGGATTACTCACTAACTCCAGGTCATCACGTTCTCCATGCATCTCAGGCACCTAGCACTATGCCCATGTTCCCTGGGCTGCTCAGTCCCCTGGATCACCAATCTCTTTATCTCTTTGCTGTTTTAATACTGTTGCCCGGCAGGTCAGGCAGAAAAAGACAGTATATGCCCCACCTGAGCGTAAGCAGTAGGACAGGGATTTTTGTCCGTTTGGACCACTGCTTGATCCCTAGTGCCTAGAAGAGTACCCGACACATAGTAGGTCCTGTGGAAGGGAGGAGATGAAAGTCAAGCCTCACCACTGAGGACCAGTAAAGCTCTGTCTGGGTTTCCTGAGTGAACTTCCTGGCTGCATCAGGTAAAGGCCAGGGAGTCCTCGATTCTACAAGTGTCTTGCGGTTCGGTAAGATGGGGTAACAATGCTAACTGCACGTGGGGCTTTTTCTGAGCACAGAGTACCTTAACACCTGGAAAGGACATGGCACATGATGCGCATGGAATTGCTGTTCAGACACATGTCATTTCTCTTCCCTTTTCTCTCTTCATGTTAGAGGACTCAACAGTGATTTTAGCTTAATGAGGAGAGAATGAGGGAGGGTGTCTGACCTCAGCTGAAAACAACTGAGAACCATCTGGGGGGCTCATCCCTGTGCCTTAGGGTGCTGGGCCTCATTTCCTCACTCCTTTTTTCAGCCCCCTCCCCACAGAAGCAGACACAAAGCTAGTTTTTCTAGCTTTTACCAGAGGACAAGAGAGAAGGCATCTAACCAAACCTTGGCAGGAGTCCTTTCATCTGGAAGGATTGGGCAGACCAGCCAGCGTTTCCTGGTTTGCTGGCAGCAGGCCCTTTCAGAGACCACGTCTCTCCTGGTGGCTATTCTTTGGCCTTTAGGGCCACAGCCTCTGTTACTGCCTGCTGGGACACTTCTGACACTCTCAGATGCTAATGTCTGCTGTCCGTCCGTCCCCACCCCCCACCCCCTGCCCCGGCCCAGGGTGCATTGTCTAGCACTTGCCTCACTGCATAACCCTTTCCAACGCTGTCCAGCTAACACAGACCGTGTGAAGTTGGCTTGCACATCAGAATCACCCAGAAGCTGGGTAAAAAGATGGATTCCTGGGCTCCATCCTTAACATGGGATTCAATAGGTATAGGAGGCCCAGGAACCTGCATTTATATACACGGAGTGATTCTGATGCAGGAGACTCACGGGCCACTGCCCCTTCTCCATCCCCTGGGCTGGTTGGCCCAAAATGACCCTTTGGCTGCATGCCACAGCCTTGGATCTAAACAGGATGGTGGGCGAAGTGGACGGTAATTATGTCGGGAGCTTTTTCAAAGCTCCACATACACCCACAACTCTGAAATTCTTTCCTGGCCCTCTACACCCTAGAGAGTCCAGGATAGGTGGAAACACCCACAGGTGATTCTGACGTTTCAAATATACCTCTCACACCACCTAGCCCCCACCCTATCCCTTCACAGGCACACATCACTCCCTGTTTGTGACCCAGTTTGTCCCATCCAACCGAAACTGCATGTCCAACAGTGGCCCTGGAGTGCTTGTGTTTAGTCTTGAATAAAACCCCTGGTCTGGCTCCGTCAGTCACCACAGCACACAGGTGCTCGAAATCCTCCAGTCCAGCATAACCTTTCACCTGTCTTCTGAAGGTACTGATTTTTTCCCTAACATAAACCCTGCAGCTTACATGGGTAAAATGACAACCACCTCCCAGCTATGATTTACTTAGCTCCTGCGTTACACCAAGCACTGTGCTAGTTGCTTTATATAATTGCCTCTAATCCTTAGAGCAATCCTAATTATATGTATGTACTATATGTTTATATATAATTATATATTTTATGGTATATAATATATAATTCTAGATATATAAATTATAGTATATATTTGTTATAGTTCATGTTATATAATTATATTATATATAAAATAGCCCCAGTTTTTCAGACATGGGGACTGAGCCTCCTCCATGGCCACTCTGCTAAGAAAGGTGAGATCTGGGTTCACGGCCAGGTTTGCTGGTGTCAAGTTTACATCTTCCTTCTACTCTGATGGGTGGATGCCTCCTACCTCTGTGGCACCATGCCTGCCACCTCCACATTTTCCTGTCCTCGTTTCCCTGCCAGCTACCCCCAAAGGCACTGTGAGTGTGGGCTTTGGGATGCCAACTGAACAACCTGGGTACTGCCCAAATCCCTCTCTGTCCTCGCGGAGAAGGCTGTGGCTAATGAATGATCTCACGATGCTGGCGGGTCTCGGCCACCATCTTTTATTTTTACCTTCTCACTGAGGAGATGCCGCTCTTTTCTGTCATCCTGTCTATGACGATGATAATCCAATTACTTATGCAATCTCTTTCCATAATTGTTACATTTGGAAAATTATTTCAAATTTCCTTTGACTACTTTGTGAGGTAACCGAGGAGGTGGTGTGATCCTCGTTTAATAGATGGGGAAACTGAAGGCTAGAGGCAGTCAGCTTTGAGCCAGTTTTCACATGGCACCAACGTCAGAGCCTGAACTGGGACTCAGTTTTTGTTTTTTGTTTAAATTGGGGAACAGTGTGTTTTTCCAGGACCCATCAGCTTCAAGTCAAGGAGTTGTTCCAATCTAGTTGTTTTTTTAAATTCCAAGTTCAGTAATCTTTCCTCTTACGAAGTTTATTTTAGAGTAGTATTTTTCAGATTGTGACGTCAAAAAAAATTCTGTGGGTTGCAAACAGGATTTTAGAATGACGTTGCCAAAAAAATATTAAATATCAGAGTGCACTGCAGAATTAAGCTATTTTTTTCCCCTGAAACTTTTGTTTAGGTTATCAATATATAAATGTACATAGATGATCATACTGTCCATTATATCTTACTGGGGGACACAATCACCGGGTTAGAAGTTGCAGAGGCGAGACAGGACTCAATATCTAATACTTAGTCCCTCAGAAGCACACCTGTTGCCATCATCGAAGAACACACGTTTGTCTGGAGGGACCACAGCTTTCATGGCAAAGCACCATTCTGAAACAGACTGCTCTGTTGTAAATTTCCCATTTATCTTTCTACTTTGACCTCATAATATTCTCCTCCTCTGAAAGACAACTCTAAACTTGCCCTCACTTCAGTGAATTTAACTGGAAGGCACGAATTGGACGGATGTTCTGAGTTGACATTTCTGAAAGCAAGGTGTTTCATCTTGCCTCCTCCTTGCTTTCCAAATGAGGGAAATCCTTTGAACAGTTGGGCCTGTAGCAGTAATCTCATATGTTACTCATTTGCTCCACCGCCATTTTTAACAAGGTGCAAGAACACTGTGTGGACAGGAGGTGAAAAGAAAGAACATTTTCCAAACAAAGGCAGCCTATCAGGCTACCATGATGTGGTATCTGCAGTGAAGGTGCCAGAAGTCACAGGAGAAGCGGAACGAATCAGCTACTCCTTCCAGCAGAGACTCAGAGCAGCTAAGTCTACCCCAGAGCTTACCCTGGTGGGCTGGAATGGATAGGAGAGCTCTAGCTAGCAACAGCAGGTGGAGGAAGCCAGCACTGAGCATTAGCCTCTGCTTTGCTCCTGAGCATGGTGGCCCTGGCAGGCTGCAGCCTCCCTGCTCGCTCCATCTGCCCTACAGGCCAGAAAGCACTCACCTCTGATGCGGGTGCACCTTCTGAGCATCTAGCTGTACAGTACATCTCGTGGGCCTTGGAGATAAATGGCCCTGTACACTGTTGGGATTACCAGTCAGCCTGCATGACTTTGAATGAGCCCCAAACGACCCATATCTTTGCATAGGAAGTGACCTATCTAAATTACTTTTGGTAGTAGAATAATGATTATTTGTCATTAAAATCACAGCTAATCCACCAGAGACTGTAAAGTCTCCAGCTTCTCTCAATCTCAATCTCCAGTTCTAGAAGGCCACATATTTTTACAGTTGCTTCCCTTTCTTCAGGACACGTGGGGTGTTGTATAGCCTTCTTCAAAATAATCCTCTTGGGCCAGCTGAGGGGCCAGGTGGTTAAGAGCTTGCTCAAGAGTGCAAGCTCTGAGCAACAGCGTTGCCAGTTCGATTCCGACATGGGCCAGTGAGCTGTGCCCAAGCTGAGCTGTTGCTGAGCTGCCAACAGGTGGCAGGATAGCTCAGCTGGTGAGAGCACGTGCTCCTAATAACAAGGTTGCCTGTTTGAGATGGTGGGCTATGCCTGCCCACAACTAAAAGACTGAACTTGGCACCTTGAGCTGAGCTGCTGCCTGGGTGGCTCAGGGGATAGAGCATGCTCTTGGACTCCAGCATGCGATGGTGGCTACGCCCACCTGCAACTAATTAAACACAGCATCTTGAGCTGAGCTGCGTGACTGGACTTGGAGCTGAGCTAGCTGCGCCCTCCACAACTAAGATTGAAGGACAACAACTTGGCCGTTCCCCTCTCCCAATTCCCCAATAAAAATCTTAAAATAATAATAATAATAATCCTCTTGCTAGCATATTTAACCTGACTTCACTTCAAGGTGCTCATAGATTTTTCTTCATCTCCCACAAAAATTTAAGATTTACTTGTGTTTCAACAAAGATCAAGATGGGCCGGGGTGGCTTTCTCACTATGTTTGTTTTCCGCTGCCTGGGAAAATTTTCTTTTTATGCAACCTCTTCCAGGTTTTTAGTCTCTAGGTATTAGGGTTCAATTTCTCCTCTTCTCCTTTATTCCAATCATTACCAAGTTATTGAACTGACTTTTCCCACTTTTATTTTTCTTTAACCACATCCTTAAATCTTTCCAACTGGCTTCAGGCCAAGGTTCTTTTCTATATGACTATGCACAGCTTTAATAATAAACACAAGTGTTTCCTTAATTTATAATATCATCTCTGAAACACTCTCTTTTCTTATATTGACTGCAAGATAAGTTCATTTGACATTACAATCCTATGGTATGGGGAAAAGGTAACTTTCTTTTCTTTCTTTCTTTCTTTTTTTTCTAATGGGAAACAAAAAAATGACTTTGTTGCCATGATCCCAATTGCAGTGAGTTGCAGGGTAACTTGGAATTCCCGTTTCCTGGCTCCTCAAGCCTAAAGCCCTTCACTTCGCTGTATTTCCTTTAGTTAAGTCTTAACTTGCAGAGTTATTGTGAACTAAGCGTTTTCCTTGTCCACATAAAGTTTTCCATGGATTGTTCGTGTACACTGTGAGGAACCATAAAGGGCTTAAGACAGTTTAGATCTTATCTAAATTTCGATATAGACAGTGTCCTATTTCCTAATCCATTGGCTGTCTGTGTGTGCAAGTGTACACATATAAAAACTCTACGGCCACAAATATGTCTAAATATGTATTTCCATTTGTACAAGATAAGCAACTATTAAAAAGCAAGTGCTGTAGAAACTGGCACACATCCCTGGGGACTTACTAGCTAAGAAGGACCTTAGCTGACCAGGTTCCTCCACGCTCTCCCAGAAGATAGGATTCTGCTCTCACAGCCACAGCTTTCAGAGCTGTGGGGCTCCCTGAGGCAGGTACAAGATGACCTGGTCAAAGCCAAGACCTCCCCCTAACCTGGATTTTGCAAAAGCTCCCCATAACAGAGAGCCTGGATTATAAGGAATTAGGTCAGTGGAAAGGAATCATTTTATCAAAGCCTCTTCCATGCTTGCTTAGCAGATGCTGCCAGAATTAACCGAAATGCCAATAATTTAGAAGGAACTACCTAGAAGCTCCAGTCTCCACCCAATTCATGTCCATCCCTCCTTACTAAACATTCCAGTCATTTCAGAAAGGGTGCTGGACAAGGCGACCTGTGTCTGAGAAATGGGCTGGCCTAATTTTCACATTATCCCCCAGAATCTTGACTGCAGTCAAAACACCTACCTCAAATAGCAGAAAACTAGATTTACAATTTAAAATAATCATGAATCTCACAGCCTCTAAATCCAAAGGATGTGGGCAGCTGTGCACTCCCCAAGGCTCAATGCCTTTTTAAAAACAGAGTTAGGGGTCAATATTTGTTACATCCTCCACCCCCCCAAAAAAGCACCCACATTTAAAGTTTTCAACACTACCAGCGTCAAGCCCCTCACTGGACATAAGCAAACCCAAAGCTGGATTCCTGAAAATATTTCCTTTTTGCTGATCTCAGAAGTACCACTAGTTATGCCTTTTAATCTGCTTACTACTAAAACAGAAGAGACTGTAGCTTTGAGTAAAACATCTAAATACAGCAGAGAGCTGCTGTTGGCCTTGAGTCAAGGCAGGCTGGTGCTGGAGGAAGGCACGCAAAGGTGGCCCAGGGACCTCTTGATCGCTAGTTCTCTGTTGCACAATCAGGACCGGAAGGGGATCCCCCAATTTCTGGTGAGCTATTTATTGTATTTTAGCTGTGACTTCATCCTCCTTAAAATTCATTTTACTGATCTCTACCTTACTCCATACACAAAAACGAATTTGATGCAACAAACTCTAGCACCATAGAATCCCCCATCTAGAAGAACACAGATCTTTGTGACCTAAAGATCAGCCAATATTTTACTAAAATGCCAAAAAGGACTAAACTTAAAAGAAAAACCACGATAAATCGGATTTCATCAAAAAATTGTATCTGCTCATGAAAAGATACCATTAAGAAACTGGAAAAGAGAACCACAGAGAACACTTCACAAGAACATTCCACGAGAATACCCAAATAGAAAGAGGCTAGCATGCCAAATGTTGGCAAAGAATTAAATCAACTAAATTCGTATATACCGCTTGTGTAAAATGATACCAACTCTGGAAAACCATTCTGGCAATCTACACGGGCAAGTTCATGTATTCATTAATAGTGAAAAAATGGGAAGCAACTGAAAAGTAGGTTAAATGGTGAATGAATAAATAAAATTGCATATTTAAGCAACTAATACTGATTTAATCAGTAATAAAAAGGAATAAACTATTGCAAAAACTGGGGCGACTATCAAAAAAGATTATTCTGTGCCAAAGAATCCGGACACACACTGTATGAGTCCATTAGTACATATATAGTCCTAAAACGAGCAGAACTAATCTCTAGTGATAGAAACCGGATCAGTGCTGGCCTGGGGTGGGAGACAGGCGAGGGATAGAGTGCAATAAAGCACAAGGAAACTTTTTGGGGTGATGCAAATGCTCTTATATCTCAACTGTGACGATGGTTACAAACTTATAATTTGTCAAAATGCATTTACTATACACTTATAATGTACATTTTATTATATGTAAAGGATACCACAATAAAGATGATTTGAAAAAAAAAAAAGGAATGAATCCCTGGTACATGAAACAAGACAAATGAATCTCAAACATTATGCTGCATAAAAAGAATCCAGACATGGAAAGGATATCCTGTATGATTCCACCGCTGATAGAAATCAGGACAGTGTCACCTCGGAGGTGGGGGCGGGTCGGAACTAACTGAAAAGGGGTGTGAGGGAACTTTCTGGGGTGATGAAATATCTGATATCTTGATGGGATATAGTTACATAGGTGGATACAATTAGAAATAAACTTAAAATCTATACTTTATATTGCATTTCAATTATACCTCAATTAAAAAATACATTCTCCCTTTCTCCCCCCTTCAAAGCATTTTACTGTGTAGGACTCCCTACTGCCCTGGACATTTTCTGTTGCGGCAACCACTAAGGTCTTTCCAAACTCCACATTGGGACAAGGTTTCCACTTAATCTGAAAACAGAACAGCATCTTTGAAATTGGGTCTGTCCTAAAAAATCTGGAATGGAAACAGTGCCTATAAATCAAAGCTAGGACAGGCCAAAAAACTGTAACTCTGGCCACACATAACATTCTTCAAGATAACACAGAGAGAATCAGAGTTACCTGTTCCTTCCATGCCCTGAGCTTATTTCTTTCTAGAACCAAGTCCAGTTTCCTGCCTTCACTTCTGCTCTTTCTTGCTGCCCACCTCTTAGAGCCCCAGTCACACTGCGCCTTCCTCTCATTGGAGTCCCGAGTCTTGAGTTCTCCTTCTCAGAATTCAACTGTCAAGAACAATGGCTTTATACACCAAAGCCCACCCCCTTCTGATGGCTTTATTATTCACTGGAACCCACCCTCTTCCGCAGTCACTTTCTTTGGCACCCCATTAAACAAAATAGACAACCAGATTCAGATCTTTTTGAAACACAGACAATTAGGGAGGTAAACATATCAAAAACACTTCCCCCTGAATGTTTTTACTAAAAGAATCTAATTTAGTTTCTCTAGAATTTTGTATTAGTGACTTGGATCTCAGAAAACCAAAAAGTAGCCGTATTTCCTACCACCCACCATAATCCTTTGTGTATCCCCCCAAAACAAAAACTGAAAACCATGGACTCTTCACTGAAATAAAGCACTCCACACAACTTCAAAAAGTGTGCATTAGGGACAGATATTCAACCTATAGACCCAAATAGCTCTGCTTTTGGTCAAAACCATTGCAAGGGTAGATAACAAGTCATCTTCTAAATATGTAACACTTCGGATTCCATTTTATCATATATACTATAATTCTTTTTCACTTGTGTGAAACATTTGCTGATGAATTAGTCAACCCCGCCCCCCGCCACACACACACACACACACACACACACACACACAGACTGTTTATTCTCTGTACATCATCTATGGTTAGATCAACCTAGTCTCAGGTGCACCTGGAGAAATATGCCTATGAGAACCATAAAACTGGAGGACAACCTGGATAGAAGTTACTCCCGCGCATCTAGCCACTGAAATGCAGTGTGGGTAACTGGTCAGATACATGCGGTGGGGGTAGAAGGTAGAGACCAAGTTGTCCTTCAAGGAAAAACTAGGCATTCTTTGAGTTATTTTACAACTTTGTAAATTGTACCAACTGATAACAATGTGAAGGAATTCTTGTCCATAATCATGCAAATGAGTTCGAGCCAATGAAGCAACCACCCTCTTGCTCTTGTCCACAGGGAAAACCAGTTTTGCCTGCATTTCAATATTCCTGATCTATAAACATGCCCATTCTTTGGGTTCTCCTCTGATTGGTTGTAACACCCTTACCAGTTTCCTAATTAATACGTTAGTAAAACCTTTAGTAAGTGTTCTTTTTTATATCTGTATATAAAAGAAGGTACATATTTTTATATCTGAGAGTCATGACCTTATCTTTTTCCCCAAACTATCTTTTAATACTTGTTACCATTCACCATGCCTCCAGCCTGTCCAAATCACCTCCAATTTATTCCTCTGAGTCTAAATGATTTGCTAATAGTTGTTAAATGACCAAATCAGCTTTAATAGTTTGACATTTCACCACAGGCCTTTCCAGACTTAGGGTGGCCTGGTTTTTTTTTTTTTTCTTTCTCTCCAGGTTTGGGCTTTCCATAGCCAATGTGGTCCAGTGGGAAGAGCATGACTTTGGAGTTTGAAGTTGACGTTCCTCCTACCTCACCCCTGTGTGTGGGACATACCTCATCTCTCCAAGCCTAGAATGTGGATAATCACACCTACCTCACGAGGTTGTCTCATGCGCTGCTCCGTCTGGTTCTTGGCACATATCAGGCACTCAATACAGCTTCCTCCCCATCTCCCTCCAGTAAGCACAAATTGCAAATCCGATCAGAATGAAGACAGCTGGGCACTCAGAGTTCAGAGAGTAATTTCAGAGAGGTAAATAATTCACAGTAAATAATTTCACCTAAACGGCTACAGGGCTAACAGGCCAAAGAAAGTCATCATGGAATATTTATGCTTGAATTGCATCTACCATTCCCTGACCTTGAGTAACCACTGTTGGTCTAGAACCAAATTACGACTGAGCAAAATTAGTGCTTTTGTCCATTTCAGCTACTCCTAAGGCAGTTTGAAGAGAAACATATTTGGAATTTAGTCATGTTTTGGTCTACCTAAACTCTGTACCTTAATGAAAACACACCTTTTGCCTTAGGAAACACCAATGTGCTCATATACCGGTAGGAATATTTTTAGAAGACATGGTTTCTTTCAACCTTTTCAAACTGTAAGCACTGCACAAGCTCAACCCTTTTGCCTATTTACAACAGCAACAATGACCTGACCAATAATTGTTGCACATGTTATCTGATGAATTAGGTATCCTTCCCAGTAAGGCTGTGCTTTCTTTTAGTTTCAAGTAGTTCCCAACCGAGCCCCGGGTCTCTAAACTTCAAAGTCCCCCTTCCGACCCGCACTTGGACTTGTTCGCGAACCTCGGCTGGGGATTTAGAACTCTGTGCTAAGGTTTCTTTTCAGCAAACACGATGTAGTCGTGGGGGATGCTGGCCCTTTACCAGAATCGTAATGGTAATTAACCAGCTTTTCCAGAAGGATAAAAGTGAGAAGTCCAGGCACACCGACTTCTCTGAGCACTGCGGTGGGTAGGAGAGCCCCAGAGCAGCCTCACCGGGAAG